GCCCGCATAATAACTGGGCCCCTACCCCTTTAAAAGAATGTTTGCCATACTCCTTGCACTCTGTGTCCCGTACTAAGGTTGAATTTAATTGTAATGATTTTCTGTCCCAAAAAGCTCTCAAATATTTTGTATAAAAGGGCATCTTGTGTCAGAAGCCAGACACGGTATGGTAGGATTGTGGGGAAAGGGGGTCAGAGTGACATGCTGTGGATTCCATTCACATTTGGGCTTCGATGCTGATAGAATGTTAAAATTAAAATTATTTTAAAGGGATATTAAATTTGGGTTTATTAATTTTAAAAATAATAAAAAAAAATTTTAAATGAATTTATTATTAAAATTAAATTGCCAAAAAAGTATTTTCAAACGGGAGGGGCCACTGTTTTGGTCATTAAAAAGTTTTGAACAATTATTTCGGGCCTTTCAATACTTTATTAATTTAAAAAGATTGACCCAAAGAAAGTTAAACTTTCAATTCATTGTCAACCCTGCGTCTTTTTTGGGTGATCAAAAAAGTTTTAAAAAATCCCCAGTTTTTTCAAAAATGGGGTTTTTTTCCGGGTTAAAGATTTTGGAGGAAAAAAACCCACCGTGTAAAAAAAATGTTTTGGGGGTGGGGGTTTTTGTTGGTTTATGTTGGGTGTGTTATTTGTTTGAAACCTTAAAAAACAAAGAAAGCAAGATTTTTCCCCCCCATTTTGGTAATACCCAACCCCCCTTCCCAAAAACCTGACTTCCACTGTTTATAAGCAACCTTTTTTTGGTTTGGTTTATTTTTGGTGTGATGATGGTGTGGGGTGATTGGGGTGAAGAGGGTTGGGGTTTGGGGACAAACACCCGGGGGGCGGAATTCCTAAGCACTCTTTTTTGGGTTTTTTCCTCCCTTTACAAGTTACTCTCTCAGTTAAAATAGCCTCTCACATACGCTGGACTCCTGTCATCAATGTTGAGATATACCTCCCACTGTGTATAACTATATATTCTAATATATTCTAGTGTCTCTCAGGATCTTACAATATATTTATTATGTAAACGAGTAGTGAAGACTGAATGAGGATACCTGTTATGATAGTGAATACTTGAGCCGAGGAGGCTCTAAGTGAGCTCTCTGACCTCTTACTGAATGATGACGGGAGATGTCTGCGGAGTACACACCAGGGATGGTTGTAGGAGGGAAGGTTGTAGGAGAGATGGTTGTAGGAGAGATGGTTGTGGGAGGGAGGGTTGTAGGAGGGATGGTTGTAGGAGGGATGGTTGTAGGAGGGATGGTTGTAGGAGGGAAGGTTGTAGGAGAGATGGTTGTAGGAGAGATGGTTGTAGGAGGGATGGTTGTAGGAGGGATGGTTGTAGGAGGGATGGTTGTAGGAGAGATGGTTGTAAGAGGGACTGTATCGTGAGGGACGGTTGCGGGAGAGACAGTTGCAGGAAGGACGGTTGCAGAAGAGACAGTTGCAGGAGGTACAGTTGCAAGAAGGACAGTTGCAGGAGAAACTGCTGTAGGAAGGACAGTTGCAGGAGAGACAGTTGCAGGAAGGACGGTTGCAGAAGAGACAGTTGCAGGAGATACAGTTGCAGGAAGGACAGTTGCAGGAGGGACAGTTGCAGGAAGGACAGTTACAGGAGAGACAGCAGCAGGAAGGACAGTTGCAGGAGGGACAGTTGCAGGAAGGACAGTTGCAGGAGGGACAGTTGCAGGGGCACCCAGTAAGGTCAAAGATGCTACCAAGATAACACGTGACGTCTGGGAGAATCACTAACGTTGGCAACTTGTCGTCAGTAAGGCCACATCCCCAGCCACACACGGACGCTTCTTTCCGTCCGTGTCTCGTGTCTCCCGGGCCTCGTGCTGGTCTCTCGGGTACAGCCCTTATACCTCCCTGACCTCTCAAAAGTGTTTCATAAAGGACGTCCCTGACCTCTCAAAAGTGTTTCTAGAAATCGGCCTTGTCTCTAAAACTGTACTGCTAGAGGTCTGCTCTGGATCCCTGCCAGTTTGAAAGGGGATCCCGGAGGACATGACTACACTCTCAAAACTAATTTCTAAAACTAGAGAAAGTCCCTTTCCCCTGTGTGATGTTGACTAAATAACACCTTCGTCGATACAAGTAGTGGTGGTGGTAGAAGTGGTGGTGGCAGAGGTGGTAGTAGTGGTGGCGGCAGAGGTGGTAGTAGTGGTGATACTGGGCTCAAGTCACTAGAAATATATGTATGAGTGTCAGATGATACCAACAAAACTTCAACACCATGGCTCTCTCCTCGTAGAAAATTTTAAGTTGTGGGGAGAGGTAATAACTGTGGTGGTGAAGGTGCGTCTCCACCACAGGAGTTGCTGCCTCACTTGGCTCCTGTGAGAAAGGTAACAGCTGTGGTGGTGAAGGTGCGTCTCCACCACAGGAACTGCTACCTCACTTGGCTCCTGTGAGAAAGGTAATAACTGTGGTGGTGAAGGTGCGTCTCCACCACAGGAACTGCTACCTCACTTGGCTCCTGTGAGAAAGATAATAACTGTGGTGGTGAAGGTGCGTCTCCACCACAGGAACTGCTACCTCACTTGGCTCCTGTGAGAAAGATAATAACTGTGGTGGTGAAGGTGCGTCTCCACCACAGGAACTGCTACCTCACTTGGCTCCCGTGAGAAAGGTAATAAATGTGGTGGTGATGGTGCGTCTCCACCATAGGAGCTGCTGCCTCACTTGGCTCCTGTGATCACTGAAGGAGATGAAGGTTACTGTACATCTTGAAGATGCTGCGGGAGAATGAATAATTTAAGAGGTTATTCATCATTATACATGATGTACGTAAGGTATATATGATACTGTACTTGCCTGTTTGTGGTTATAGGGTCAAGTCTCAGCTCCTGGTCCTGCCTCTCACACTAGCTGCTACTGGGTTTCCTCTCTACTGCCCATGCATGTACCTTTCCTCTGCCACTTCACTGAGGGGTAAGAAATACTTCCTAACATACCAGCTGTAACCTGTATACCTGTTTCTGCCCTTTAGCACAACCTCTCTCTCTCCACTCTATTTATCTCAGTACTATGTACGTCATTAACATGTCTCCCTGGAAGAGGAGTTCAATTAACCTCTCATAGCTTATAATTCTTAGCTCTGGGACTAGTCTTATTGCAAATCTCTGCACTTTTGTCTCTTTCTTGACATGCTTGATCAGATGTGGGCTCCAAACTGGTGCTGCGTACTCCAACGTTGACATATTTTATGCAGTGTCGTGAATTATACTTTGTTGATGTTCCAGTGTGTGTGTGTGTGTGTGTGTGTGTGTGTGTGTGTGTGTGTGTGTCTGTCTGTCTGTATTCACCTATTTGTGGTTGCAGGGTCGAGTCATAGCTCTTGGGCCCCGTGTGTGTGTGTGTGTGTGTGTGTGTGTGTGTGTGTGTGTGTGTGTGTCTGTACTCACCTATTTGCGGTTGCAGGGGTCGAGTCATAGCTCCTGGCCTCGTGTGTGTCTTCCTTCCATATAGTGGAGAAGGAAGGAGATGGAAAAAGATAAGAGAGTCAAGGATAAGCATCAAGAAACCAGTTTTGAGAACGAGGCAAACTGCTGTATCTAAATCCTTCCCTCCCTGATTCTCTCTCCCTCCCTCCCTCTCTCCCTTCCCTCACTCTCTCCCTCCCTCCCATCTCTCCCTTCCTTCCCTCCCTCCTCCCTCCTCCCTTCCTTCCCTCCCTCCCTCCCTCTCTCCCTCCCTCCCTCCCTCCTCTCCCTTCCTTCCCTCCCTCCCTCCCTCTCTCCCTTCCCTCCCTCCCTCCCTCTCTCCCTGACAGTTAACATGAAGCACAGTAGTAATTAACATGTTATATTCTTTGTTGTGTTACCTAACCTTGTTAATTGTTGAGTTATCTCTGGGTTAACTTAATAATGATAATAATAATAATAATATAATAATAATAATATAATAATAATAATAATAATAATAATAATAATAATAATTATTATTATTATTATTATTTTATTATTATTATTATTATTATTATTATTTACTATAGGTAGTAGTAGTAATAATAGTATTATTATTGACAATGATAAATTATTATAGTCATGTCGTAAAACCAAAATAATGAAAATAAACCAAACATTGTGAAATGTTCAGTAGTAGATCACTGGGCTCACAACCGAAGAAATCTGGGTTCGATTCCCGGTTGCATCTTGAGAACGATGTTCTATTTTATATAATTGAAAACTTGTAAGTAACCTGAGGTAGGTTAACACTTATGTTTATGTCAGACAGGTGTTTACCTGATCCTAGACAGGTGTTAGTGATATTATGTGGTGTTAGGAAGGTGTTAGTGATATTATGTGGTGTTAGGAAGGTGTTAGTGATATTATGTGGTGTTAGGAAGGTGTTAGTGATATTATGTGGTGTTAGGAAGGTGTTAGTGATATTATGTGGTGTTAGGAAGGTGTTAGTGATTGTATGTGGTGTTAGGAAGGTGTTAGTGATATTATGTGGTGTTAGGAAGGTGTTAGTGATATTATGTGGTGTTAGGAAGGTGTTAGTGATATTATGTGGTGTTAGGAAGGTGTTAGTGATATTATGTGGTGTTAGGAAGGTGTTAGTGATATTATGTGGTGTTAGGAAGGTGTTAGTGATGTTATGTGGTGTTAGGAGTGTTAGTGATATTATGTGGTGTTAGGAAGGTGTTAGTGATATATGTGGTGTTAGGATGGTGATTAGTGATAATTATGAGTGTGTTAGAAAGGTGTTAGTGATTGTATGTGGTGTTAGGCAGATGTTAGTAATATTATGTGGTGTTAGTCAGATGTTAGTGACAGTGTCTGGTATTTAAGAGGTGTTAGTGACAGTGTCTGGTGTTCAACAGGTGTTAGTGACAGTGTCTGGTGTTCAACAGGTGTTCAGAGCGCCTGTTCATCGCAGAGGACAACAGATGTTACAATGTTCTTGTTGAACACGTGCAAACTTCACCCAATGCATCTGTGAACACTGCTTGAAGGTGATCTCTCTGACCGCCCCCGCCCCCCGCCCCCACCCGACCACCCACCCATCCACCCACCCACGTCTCATCAACATTTCGCAGTGCCACAGTTGAGCCACCCACCACCCACACACCCGCCCACACTGCACCCAGGAGGCTGCTTCCTTTGCCGCCCATCCAGCCGCCCACCCAGCCGCCCACCCAGCCGCCCACCCAGCCGCCCAGCTGGACATACAGCATATCTGACGGACGTTTAAAAGCTGAGATGCTGGGAGAGGTCCTAGTGTTGACTTTTATGGTAAGTCCTTCTGTGAGTCCCTCTTGTGTGAGTCCTTCTGTGAGTCCATCTTGTGGTAAGTCCTCCTGTGAGTCCCTCTTGTGTGAGTCCAACCAGTCACTCTTTGGATTAGTCTTCTGTTAAGATGGTTAGTTATGACGTGTGATTACTTACTTCTCTCTTGTTTGGTCTCCCAGAATGCATACCTCTCCTTCCTCTCTCTCTCTCTCTCTCTCTCTCCTCTCTCCTCTTCTCTCTCTCTCTCTCTCTCTCTCTCTCTCTCTCTCTCTCTCTCTCTCTCCCTCCCTCTCTGCTATCATGTACCCACCAGTGGTACCAGCAGAGGGCAATGCTTGCCGTCCCCTTGTCTAGTTGTTGTTTACCCCTGCTCTCCTTTATTTACCCTCATATCTCCCCTCCTTTCTTCCCCCTCTCATCCCTCTTTCATCCTCTTCCTCTCTCGAATTCCCCTTTCTTCTCTTCGTAGCTCGAATATATTTTTTTCTCCTCTTCATTCTCCTACTTTACTCCATGTGGCTCCTGGGTTATCGGTACTGCTATCTCCTCGCAACAGAATTGCCCGGGCTTGATGCTGGGCTGGTGGAGGCACTGGGCATATCTCATTACGCCTGCTGTCCCTGTTCACCCAGCAGGAAATAGGTACCTTGGTGTTAGTCGACTGTTGTAGGTGGCATCCTGGGGACAGAGAGAGAGTGTAGCAACACAGGCTATTACTTTTGTTGCTGTTGTTGTTGTTATTGTCGATCCCTTCAAAGTGCGTCGCTAGGGCCTAATTCTCTGTGCTTGTGTCATCCAGGGAGAACCACGTGTTGTTTACCATGATCAGCTGATATCTGTTTACCATGATCAGCTGATATTTGTTTACCATGATCAGCTGATACTTGTTTACCATGATCAGCTGGCTTTGCGCGGCATCTCACTCAGAAACTTGGGAGCATCTAATGAGTGGAATTGAATCCTGTCTTTGATCCTCCTTGAAGACACCGTGATGCTTCAAGTGCCAGGCACTGTAGGATCTTAATGGCAGTGCGACAGCATGGCACTGTAGGAACCTAACTGCAGTGTGAGAGGATAGCACTGGAGGATTCTAGTGGCTGTATGAGAGGATGGCACTGTATGATCATAGAGCCAGATGGGGAAGGATGATACTGAAGGATGTCAGAACCAGCTGGGCTGGGGTGGCACTGAAGGGACATAGGGCCAGATGGACTGGGATAAGATATCAGGACTTCAGGAGGACTAGATGAGGTCATCAGCGTATGTGTGTGTGTGTGTGTTCACACTCCTGTGACATTCTAGTCAGCTGCGTCACCATTAGTATCTGACAAGGCGTTGTTTAGTCAGCTCCAGTAGCTGACAATCACGTCTTCTCGACACACAACATTCCCAACACATAACTACTCACATTCTCCACATTCATACACTCCTCAAAGTTAATGTTTACCACTTTTGGTTTGACTCTATTAAGTAACTCTAGTTTTTAATTCTCAAATTATACTCGTGGCTTTATGAGAGGAATTCAGCACTCAGGTGCTCAGTATTACTTATGTACTCACCTAATTGTGGTTGCAGGGGTCGATACTCAGCTCCTGGCCCAGCCTCTTCACTGAGTGCTACTAGGTCCTTACTCTCTCTGCTCTATGAGCTTTATCATACCTCATCTTAAAACTATGTATGGTTCCTGCCTCCACTACATCACTTGCCGGACTATTCCACTTCCTGACAACTCAATGTCTGAAGAAATACTTCCTAACATCCCTCTGACTCATCTGAGTCTTCAACTTCCAATTGTGACCTCTTGTTTCTGTGTCCCCTCTCTGGAACATCCTGTCTCTGACCACCTTGTCTATTCCACGCAGTAGTTTGTATGTCGTTATCGTGTCTCCCCTGACCCTCCTGTCCTCCAGTGTCGTCAGGCCGCTTTCCCTCAACCTTTCTTTGTAGGACATTCCCCTGTGCTCCGGAACTAACCTTGTTGAAAGCCTTTGCACTTTCTCTATGAGTCCATTATGTTCCTCAGTCTGGAGTACGACTCGGGTGACACTGTACTGTTAATGTGTACTTCGGGTAAGAGGTTGAGTGTCAGGTATGGCTTTCAACACTGTTGAAATTGCAGGCGTAACTTGTTGCCTTGTCTCAGTTTATTTTAAAGGTCAATCCTGCACAGGGTATGCTACCATCCACCAGGATGCCACCCAGCTAGTACCCAGGTACCTATTTTACCACTCGGTGAAGAGGGACAGCAAGTGTAAGGTAACTTATCCACACCTGTCCACCCACTTTCTGCTTGCTTATCTCTGTCTTTGCTCAGCAGTCATTCAAACGCTCTGATTTTAAGTATTCCATCTTGTGAGCGAGACGTTCTGTGTGAGCGAGACGTCCTGGATGTGTGACGCCTTCACCAGTTTTTTATATTTTGTAATCACTGTGATTGAACTCTAGCAGCCACTTCATCGGAAATTTCTTTAGCATTTTTGCGCCCTGTTTTCAGTATTTTCTTGTGGTCCAGTGTGTGTACTCACCTACATGTGGTGTCAGGGGTCGAGTCACAGCTTCTGGCCCCGTGTGTGTGTGTACGGTATACATTGAAACAATGCTAACTACGAGTCAGTTAATTTTTTACATCGCTCTAGCTCTTGTACCATTCTTGGCCATCTGTCATTACCGCTCATGCAACAGCACCAGCTGGTATCTTGGCGCACATACCAGCTGGTGTCTTGGTGCACACATCTACAGCTGACACAAGAAGGCTTCGTGCACATAACTGGGTGCACTCTGAGGTCACTCACATCTGTCATTACCTTGTTACCAGAGAGACAGAAGTCTCGCTGTGAGGAGATATTGACGCAGCTGGTGACGCAGGACCACTGACGCAACAGATTTAGGAAGACACGCAGAAAATTTAGGAAGAGACAATAACGCAATACATTTAGGAAGAAGCACTGACACAACAGATTTAGACAGAGATACTGACGCAAGTGGTGACGCAAATAAGGTACGTAACTCCAGGTTCCCCTGAGGCTAGAGGCTTGTGGTGGTTACTTGGCTTGTTACAAGCTGGGTTACTACGTTATGGTGACTCTGGCTTCTTCCCAACCAGTTACCAGTCCATTAACCCAGTCACCAGTCCACTAACCCAGACACCAGTCCACTAACCCAGACACCAGTCCACTAACCCAGACACCAGTTCACCAACCCAGTCACCAGTTCACTAACCCAAATATCACCACTAACCAGACACGGTCACTAACCCAGACACCAGTCCTAACCAGCACCAGTTCACCAACCCAGTACATTCACAACCAGTACGTCCTAACCAGACACCATCCACTAACCAGACAATCCAGCTACCCAAACTCCAAACCCAGACACCGGTCCACTAACCCAGACACCAGTCCACTAACCCAGACACCAGTTCACCAACCCAGTCACCAGTTCACTAACCCAGATACCAGTCCACTAACCCAGACACCAGTTCACTAACCCAGGTACCAATCCACTAACCCAGACACCAGTCCACTACCCCAGGTACCAGTCCACTAACCTAGATGCCAGTCCACTAACCCAGACACCAGTTCACTAACCCAGGTACCAGTACACTAACCCAGATACCAGTCCACTAACTCAGTCACCAGTCCACTAACCCAGGTACCAATCCACTAACCCAGACACCAGTCCACTAACCCAGGTACCAGTCCACTAACGTAGATACCAGTCCGCTAACTCAGACATTAGTCCACTAACCCAGGTACCAGTCCACTAACCCAGACATCAGTCCACTAACCCAGGCACCAGCCCACTAACCCAGACACCAGTCCACTAACCCAGGTACCAGTCCACTAACCCAGACACCAGTCCACTAACCCAGGTACCGGTCCACTAACCCAGGCACCAGTCCACTAAACCAGGTACCAGTCCACTAACCTAGATACCAGTCCACTAACCCAGACACCAGTTCAGTAACTCAGGTACCAGTCCACTAACCCAGACACCAGTCCACTAACCCAGGCACCAGTAAACTAACCCAGACACCAGTCCACTAACCCAGGTACCAGTCCACTAACCCAGACACCAGTCCACTAACTCAGGTACCGGTCCACTAACCCAGACACCAGTCCACTAACCCAGGTACCAGTCCACTAACCTAGATACCAGTCTACTAACCCAGACACCAGTCCACTAACCCAGGTACCAGTCCACTAACCCAGACACCAGTCCACTAACCCAGGAACCAGTCAACTAACCCAGACACCAGTCCACTAACCCAGGTACCGGCCCACTAACCCAGACACCAGTCCACTAACCCAGACACCAGTCCACTAACCCAGGTACCAGTCCACTAACCTAGATACCAGTCTACTAACCCAGACACCAGTCCACTAACCCAGGTACCAGTCCACTAACCCAGGCACCAGTCCACTAACCCAGGTACCAGTCCACTAACCTAGACACCAGTCCACTAACCCAGGTACCAGTCCACTAACCCAGGTACCAGTCCACTAACCTAGATACCAGTCCACTAACCCAGACACCAGTCCACTAACCCAGGTACCAGTCCACTAACCCAGGTACCAGTCCACTAACCTAGATACCAGTCCACTAACCCAGACACCAGTTCATTAACTCAGGTACCAGTCCACTAACCCAGATATCAGCCAACTAACCCAGATACCAGTCCACTAACCCAGGTACCGGCCCACTAACCCAGACACCAGTCCACTAACCCAGATACCAGTCCACTAACCTAGATACCAGTCCACTAACCCAGGTACCAGTCCACTAATCCAGACACCAGTCTACTAACCCAGCCAGTCAGCCAGCCAGCCAGCCAGCCAGCCAGCCAGCCAGCCAGCCAGCCAGCCAGCCAGCCAGCCAGCCAGCCTGCCAGACAGACAGACAGACAGCCTGCCAGACAGACAGACAGACAGACAGACAGACAGACAGACAGACAGACAGACAGGCAAGCAGGCAGACAGGCAGTCAGACAGATAGGCAGACAG